CTTTAGAGGCAGCTCGCTCTTGAGCCTGCCTACCTAGAAGGTTGCTGACTTCCTCAAATGTCCTCACGACCCTGACCACTCACGGGTCCATTACTGCTTGGTTCTTAAAACTTGGTTGGCCCTAAATATACCTACCTCTCAAGCTCAACCTATCTGGGTTCTCGGGCCCCTTGGCCCACTGCATTGGACTGTCCTTGAGTTTCTTGCCCCTTCTTCTACTCATTCTTTCAAGTCTGAGTGCTCAACTACCTGTTGTAATTCCGTTCAGGAATTAGAGACCTAAACCAACTATCCGGTCTAAGTCCTAGGCAGGTATCAACACAAAAGCAATCAAACACTCAGCATGCGGCTTAATACAACGGTGCCAAGATTTCACCCAAGGGCTTACACACTTACCTTGAGTCCTGCCGCACCTGAATAACACTGGTTCAATTAATCACCAAAACACTCAACACAAGCAGTCTGGAGGTACACTTAGCACACTAGGTCACCCTATGGCTACCCATGTCACTACTCCTTATCACTCCAGGGTTCGACCAGATTGGACCGAGATGTCCTTGCTCTGATACCAATTCGAACCGGGATGTCACGCCCCGTACCCCACGAAGGATGAACATCCGCGTATAGGTCGAAATAAGATGCGACGCTCCCAGGTTACGTCACTGACCCGAAAACCCAAATAAGAGAAAACACACTACATGCGGAAACGACGTATATATAATATATATATATATATATATATATACACCTAGACAATTTAAAAGCAACCATGAATAGCAACGAACAACAATATACAAATGATTAAAACGATATATACATTCATTGAAACCAGAGATACAACAAAAGGGCCACGAGTACAAAAAGAGATCGGTGGCTTAGGGAGATCGGCTAAACACTAGAGGGCTACAGTCAAAAGGTATCGGTCCTCGCTCCTAAAACTGAGGTCTGCCCTAGGTATCCAGTTGGGGTCAGATCCAGACGTCTCGGAAGAACTCTCGGACTGCTCTGACTCCTCCTCTGAACTCATAGCCTCAAACTCTGTCTCGGGCTCAGTCTACTCATGGCCGGGGATCTGAAATGTCGATTTTACCACAACCGTGAGAAAACTCAGCAAGTACAAACCACTAATCCTAAACTAGGCTAATGTGCACCTCCAGAAGGGTAAATAAAACGCATCAACCAATGAACCAGCACATCAACATAATTTCACCCGGGCTCACAGCCCAATACATTGTCTCATAGCTCTGCAAGTTAGGCATTTGACATTAACGCAAATCACGTGCAGTTATACCGACCCGAAGGCCCACAGTTGGAGATAACGACCCGTAGGCCCGACCCGAAGGCCACAGTTGATAAAACGACCCGTAGGCCCGACCCGAAGGCCACAATTGATAAATCGACCCGTAGGCCCGACCCGAAGGCCACAATTGATTATAACGACCCGTAGGCCCGACCCGAAGGCCACAAGTTGATTATAACGACCCGTAGGCCCGACCCGAAGGCCACAATTGATAAATCGACCCGTAGGCCCGACCCGAAGGCCACAATTGATTATAACGACCCGTAGGCCCGACCCGAAGGCCACAAGTGATAAATCGACCCGTAGGCCCGACCCGAAGGCCACAATTGATTATAACGACCCGTAGGCCCGACCCGAAGGCCACAATTGATTATAACGACCCGTAGGCCCGATCCGAAGGCCACAATTGATTATAACGACCCGTAGGCCCGACCCGAAGGCCACAATTGATTATAACGACCCGTAGGCCCGACCCGAAGGCCACAATTGATTATAACGACCCGTAGGCCCGATTAAATAAATCTCAGGTATGCACGTTGTTGCACTCAATTCCCAATCAATCACAACATGGCATACAAATCATATACTCAGAAATTCATGCCAATACCCAAGCCAACATGCCGAACACACTTATTTACCAAGCCAATGAATTTAACACACCCTCGGCACCATCAATTTATCATTCCTCTAGTTCAATAAGTTCAACACTCATTTCCACGCATTCTTTCCAAAGTAACTCAATGCGCTAAAGGCCCGCCTTGGGCAAATCAATCTCGATAGTCATTCTCACTATTTCGGGGTCATTCAATAGGAATTTATACAAGTCCTAATCAACCCCTAAAAATGGCCAAACTCAAGCCAATAGTCAATGAACCAACTAAGTCCCAATTTAAGCCATATAGTGCAATTCGGTTCTGGTGAACAATACCAGAATAGAATATCCATTAGGCACTAAACCACACTTAAACAATCTCATTAGGGCCCAATCATATACCCTAATCATCCAACCACCAAATACACCTAATTAAGCCTCAATTAAGCCTAATTAGTCTCCAAAATGTCCAATTCAAAGTCCTTAGCAATTGAACCCAATTAGTGAAACACTTAGGCAAATTACACAATTTCGGATCGTATGAACAAGCACCAGTAGCGTAACATACTTAGCCCATTAAACCACAATTAAACAACCTCATTAGACTCTAATCTCACACTCTATTCACCCAATAGCCAAGTACACCTAATTAAGCATTGTCCAAGCCTAATTAGCCTCTAAAATGCTTAATTCAAGGCCTTAATCCATGAACCCATTTAATGTACAACTTAAACCATTTTAATGCAAATTCGGTACTGGTGAACAGTACCAGGACAGAACACCAATTAGGCCATAATCCACCTCTAACTCACTTCATTAGGCACTAATTAGGTCCCCTAATCACCCCACACAACATTAGACATGATTAGACCATGATTAAGCCTAATCAACCCCCTAATTACCCTCTAAAATGCACAAATAAACTAATTAAGGGTTTAGGGGTTTATACTCGCCTATTAATGACTCGGGACGACGAGAACGGGCGGTCGATCACCGACGCGCGGTAAGGATCGACGGCGGCGTCCCGGATGCAAGCCGGCGGTCACGGCGACGACGGGAACGACGATTCGCTGCTGGAATTTACTGATTGGGGCTGGAAACGGGGCTGAGGGTGGCTGATCAGGTGAGAGGAAGGTCCAAGGGTGTTGTGGCGACGGCTGATGGTGGCCAGCAGCTCCGGCTGGTACTATTCCGGCGTGAACAGTACCAGGATGAGCAGAAATGCCCACGGCAGAACCAGAAACGGAAACAAAAAGGGAGAAGAATTTGGGGGAGCTCTCTGCAGAACAAGGAAATGAGAGAGAGAGAAGACAATCTGGTCAAATGGGTCAAATTTGGTCTTAGTGGAGTCCAAGTGTCTCAATCTAGTGCCTTAGGACAATTTTGCCCCTAATCCAAGGGCCCAAATTTGATCAAATCCAATAATTTAGGGGCCCTTTTGTCATTTGTCCTTAACCCAAGCTGACCAGACCTGGTTAAGCCCTAATCAACCTTGGTTAACCCCAAAATTTTGACCAAAATTCGGAATTAGCCAAATTAGCCCTAGGGGCATTTTCGTAATTTTTCGATCCCGAACCGAAATTCCAATTTTTGTCCATACCGGTCCTATATATGCATGGCCAGCATAATACGGTGTCGGATCCTTAAAAATCATCCTTTAAGCCTTCGAAAATCAGTCCAAAAGTTTGGAGAGGCAAAACCGTAAATTCTCATTTTTCTCCCACCAAACGGCGTCGGATTAATTCCGATCCTTCACGGAACTTTCTCGCCATAAAATACTGGTTCCAAAAACCCAACTCGCGTCCCGAACCAGTCATCACAGCCCCGTGAACAGTAATTCACAGCTTGTGAACAGTGATTCGCAGCATCTCAACAGTAATTCGCAGCCCCTATTAATCCAAATTTCCAATAAATATTACCCAATTTAATTCCTAAGGCCCGCCATAAAATTTCCACTCCCCATTCACGTAATTCCGCACCTAATTCCATACTGATTTTGCCCAAAATCGCCCGTCGATACCCGAAGTCCAAAATTGTGTTTAGAGCGCGACTTACTAAAATCAAACGAGCATTAACATACACTTCATCTGTCCCGGTAACGGGTCAAAATTTAGGATGTTACACCCGCCGCCCGCCTCCCACTGCCGGCCACCGTCTCCCACCGCCGGTCTCCCTCTTCCCGCCACCGCCCGCCTTCGGCCACCGCCCACCTCCCACCGTCGGCTACCGTGGGCCATTGGCCACCGTCCAACTGGCCACCGCTCCTACCTCCGGCCGCCCTCCTCTAGCCGCCGTCCACCTCCCACCGCCAGCCACCATGGGCCGCCGCTCGCCAACTACCGGCCACCGTCTCCTGCCGCTGGTAGCCCTCCTCCAGCCGTCACCTCCCGCTGCTGTCCACCGCCCGCCGTCCACTCACTGGCCACTTGAGAGAAAGAAATTTTGTGCCGTTATCAAATAAATTTCTATTTCTGGAACAGAAATTTTGTGTTGTTATTAAACGTGTTTTTTTCTCAGAAACTCCTCTAGAAACAGAAATAGAAAAATCAATTTCTAGCCAGAAATTGATTTCTGAAACAGAATGATTGTCAATCGCAGTCTTAGAGGCCTTGTAGAAGGAAACTATAATCCGCGTGGAAGTAACACTGCGTAAATTTTTTTCCTTTCCCTTCCTTGGTAATTCATGCTTTGATTGCCGGTGAGATCGTTTTGTGAAGACTATGAGGACAGAGGGCTTAACATGTTCTTTGCTGTGTCATTAGCCATTGGAGAAACAGAAGCCGATGGGTCCATGGGCTATCGCATCGGTGGCGGACGGTGGCTCCGCTTCATTTCCTCGACCAAATCGATCGTCGAGTAATGACGTGTCCCGTTCCCGCGTCATCGGGCAAAATTTTTGCTTTCGATTACTGCTCTTCCCGGCCCCCCGCAACCCCCCCCCCCCACCCACCCACTTCTCTTCTCAACCTATTTTTTCCTAGTGCATTCTTGATGCGACCGTGTAACTAGCATGATAATTTGATTGATGGAGAGGAAAAGAGAAAATCCGAAAGACAAATTCTTTGCTGTTGTGTCAACTGTGCAATGTACATCACATGAAGTCGTCTCACATTTTGGATGTTACACTTTCTGATCAATCTCAAAAGTTGTCCCATCCTTCATCTCTCTGATCAAATCCCACCGCTGTCTGTTTCTTCTACAGCTTGAAGGTTTGCCTCTCTGATCACGTTCTATACATTTTCAGGAGTTGGGTTCACCAGTGCGCCCCTCGCCATTGCCGAGTTCTGTAGGATCTGAGACCTCAGGCTCTGGTAATGGCTTTGGCTTGCCCTCTCATTGACGAAGTCTTCTCTGTCGAGCGTCCTTATCAGATTCCGCACAGACACGACGCTCTCACTTTGGACGTGCGAATGGCACGCCACTTGAGCCCTGCACAGCGGACAGCTAGAGTGGAGCTGAAACCAGGTGTCGATGCAAGCAACGTGGAACGAGTGAGCGCAGTCCGGCAAGTGCTTCAACCAGTCCCCTTCCTCGAACTCTCCCAAGCAAACCGCGCACTCGGCGCGGACGCTCCGCTTCCTCATCTCCGCTTCCTTCTTGCAGAACCGCGTGATTGGCAGGTTGTGCATGGTGAAGGAGTCCAAGCCGTGGCTGTGGAACTGGAGGGATGGGTCGTCCGGGTTGGCATCGTTCAGGAGCTGCCGCCTTGGGGCCCGGTTTCTTGAGAAGGTGGGGAGACGAAAGGCGCAGAGAAACTGTTTCAAGATCGAGTAGTAGCTGAAGAGGAGGAAGACGGCGCATGTGAACACGACCAAGGAGATCACCATCGGATTCCGATGAGGAGTGTGGCTGCCATCGAGTCCCGCGGGTGAGATTGAACCGGGACTTGAAGGCATCTTGTGGTGAAGTTTGTATCAGTTGCTGCAATATTATGCTCAGATGGCTTCCGAATGGTCATCGTACTAGCTCGCCTTCATTTGGTCGGAAATTATATGTCCCAAGTCCTCTCTATGCGGTGGAACATTCTGTGAAGCAATTAAGATTTTCATTTTTGGCTAAAAGAGTATGGGTCGATTACCCCGAGGTAACAACAAATGCAGTTCGAGTAGTGATTCTGAAAATCGGCGTATGCATCTATGTCTGCATTTGTTTGTCTTTGGTGTAGATGATATCAAGGTTCAATTTATAAATTATACACTTTTATCAGTTCTGAGGTGAACCTTGACAATCATCAGATTTTCGTATTGGCCATATCGCCTGTCATCATTTAGACATGAACGGCACAATCGCCGCTTCGATTCTGATTGTGAGAAATTCAGATTCTTTCCAGCATTGACATTTCACCGTGCAAGATCTTCAGAGAGGGACTTGTGCTTAACAAACTCATGAGACAAGGAAGTTCCAAGAAAAAATGGCAAATCTCAACATCCAATCATCATCATCTGTTCTATCTCAAAAAATATTCGTTCAGGCAATGTAAAGCAAAAGACCACGAAATCGGTGCAGCTTTCTGGTCTAAATTCAGAAATCTGTCAGCCAGATCAGATGCCTGAGAGCTTGATATACAAAGGACACCTCCATATGCACACACTAACTAGTAGGAAACTACATGCCATTCACACCGGGACAAAAAAACAAAGCTATGCATTTACACCTCATACCAGTATATGCCTAACAAAAGAAGGAAAAGCCTCCTGTCATTGGAACCTCTGCCTCTTTCCCGCTGGAATCTGATTCCCGACACTGCCGACCGAAGGCAATAGCCACCCATGACCCTGATGATACAGGCCAGCCCCGCCGGCGAACTTCAGCACCGAGGCCGAGCACATATGTGATGACAGGCGAGAGACATCAGGATGTGGGGATTGGTTCACAGTTTTCACCAGGTAGTTGCTAGGACTCGCACCAGGTTTGAGACAAGCATTTGCCAGGTCATAACTTTTCATTGTAACTGGCGGGATTTTGAATGGTTGGAGAGGAGGGGGGTTCCGCCACCGAGGCAGTGGCCCCGCCACGAGGAGAGTCTGGAGTAGAGGACCAGCCTCCATCACGGCCTGCAAGAGCCTGCCCTTCTGAGGCAGGGCTTTTCCCTTGACAAGGTCATCGATAATGACAGATGCTGGATCGAATTTAGCATTCACCAAGGAGATCGAACCGCTAGTCATAGCACCGCTATATTCCTGAACATAAGGCTGATTGATGAAGCCCATGTTACCAGAATCTACCGCGTTAATGCTCGACAAGTCGGGCGAAGAAACCGCATCCAGGAACGAACTCACAGGGGATGAGCCATGCGAGTGGTGATTGTTGTAGGTATCGGAGAGGCTGCTAGATTCAGTTATGCCCGAGTTCGCTTTCACCGGCACGAGGAAGCCATCAGGGTGTTTTTGTTGAGAGAACGAGGATGATATGTCATTGATGCTTTGAGAGGTGAGCTTGTTAATCAGCTTCTGAAGCTGGTCTCTGGCTTCATCTCTTTCTTGGTAAGCAGTCTTCAGGAGCTTGAGCAGGTGCTTCACATTGTCCTTGTACTTTTTCATTTCTTCGCTCGCTTCCATTTTCACTGCCTCGAGCTCCAGGCTAGTGCACAGGATCTTCTGCTTCAACTCCTCCATGTCCTGTTGGTTCAAAAATGAATTCTTTTAGCATGAAATCGAAAGTACAGAAGAAAGAAGCAGAAAAACCAGCTGATCCGGGGAATAGAAGAAGAGAAAGATGCGTCCAGAGGGACTTTAAATGAAAGACTCTGAAGCTATACATCCATAATTGTGGGGAATCAATCCTTTTAAACAAAGGTAGTTAGACCGACCGGATTGAAATTTTTTGGATTTTTCACCAGAAAAACTGTTCAAAAGTATTCGTTGGTAGATCCATTAATATCTTGAAATGGGCCCGCCAAATTATATCTAGATCCTATCTATCGAGGCTTCATTCATTTGCAGGAAAATAACAACAAATAGAGAAAAGGAAAAAGCATTGATTGGGGGAAAAGATGTGGGGTGGGCTCTATTAGGCTAGGCCTGAAAATATCTCTAGTTTACATCAAAACCAACATGACACTAGTTCATAACTTCTGAATACTCGTTCGATTCACCCAACCAAAAAGAGCCGCTGTCAGATCTTCAGGAACCGAATCATATCCAAATCGAAGTTCACTACGCAGAGAAACGTATGCAAGTTGCAAGCATTTGGTGTTCATGGAAAACCCGAGAACAAAGAATGCAAATAATCCCCATGAACTGTCTCAAAGTGACCTTTGAAAGCAATTAAAGACAAAAAAATTGTCATTCTGAATTACAGGTCAAGAATTCAGATTATCCCAGTATTAAATCAACTGCTTTTGCGCATCCAGGGAACAAAAAAAGCAGTTTGACATGGCAATGAAGTGCACATCTGAATCAAAGACAAGACTTTGAATGCCTAAAAGCAAGGGCTGGGGAGGAAAGCACAAACCTCTTGACAACTCCACAAGGAACCCAACTCATCCATGTCTTCTTCCACTGCTACCTTTTTCCTTCTCCTATGCTGACCACAGACTCACAGAGCAGAAAGGTGCACGAAGAAAATTCAAGGGAATTGGGGGAGTTAAACAAAGGTGACCAGTGACTCATTTATAAGAAGATGTGGGGCACATAAGACAAGCGAGAGAGTTGGCTTTACCATAAAGGTGCAGAGAACCAAGTCCACATCCAAACCTAAAAATTAAATTAAATAAGGAATGACAAAACCTTCCTATTAGAAAAAAAGGGAGGGAAAAGACAATTCCCATATTCCGTTTTCCACTCTCTCTGTGAAACATGGAATTTCATTGGAAACCATCCCACTCTTTAAGGACCCTTGTCTCTTATTGCCATAAAAAAGACAATTCATGCCCATAAATATAATGCAATCGTGTAAATACAGCTTCTGTATAATGGGTCAGGTCAATAACCAAATCCAGTTAGATTTTCCTTGTATATATTTTCTATCTCTTCCTTTCTTTCTTGTTCTTGTGTGGAAATGCCATTAGAGAATGTAACGGCTGGTTCCCTCAAAAGAGCCTATCCTAAGAGAGGGCTTAGCTGTTCTCTCTCTACGCGGTTTTTGTTACAATAAGTTTCCACCGATACCCAATTTTTTCAAATTTTATTTCCGTTCGGCGACTTTTTTGCATGAACTTCCAGGATCGGTTTTGTTTGTGGATTGGTTTGAATTCCACGTCTGTATATATTGTTGAATGTAGATGACACGAAATTTGTTTTACTGGCTTGTAATTAGGGGTGTGCAACTGGACCGGGATTACCCGGGAATTGGACCGGACCACCCAAAAAACAGGCCGAGGAACCAGTTCTTGTTTGAACTGGTTCGGGAATTGGTTCCATATTTTGGAAAGCGGTCCGGTTTCCGATTCCAAGTGAAGACCCACCCGGGAACTGGACTGACCGGACTAACCGAACCGGTTTTAGAACCAGTTTTTAGCTGGTGTTAAAAAAAACCCTAGATCACTCTATTACTATATTTTAAATTGTTGCTTTTGGTGGACAGTAATTCATATTGCTCATTTTAGGGATGGTTGCTTTTGGCGGATAGTGATTTTTATTATTCATCTTTTATTTTGAATCGTTTCATTGCTACTCATATTATATTGCTAGAAAAAATGAAACCATAAAGAGGAACAAAAGAAAAACAGGTTCTCGGGTAGACCCTGGAACCGAATTAAAAAAATAGGGCAGATTCCAAAATAGGTTCCAAGTTCCAAAAATTGGAAACCGATTATAACATTGTAGGTTCCAAGTTCCAGGTCTGGAACCTACCCACCCTGAAACCAATCACCCCTACTTGTAATGATCCAATAGGAAAATCTACATGTTTAGGCAAGACATTGGGTCAAAAGAAAAAGTAAAGCATTCGTAAGTTTGATCCCTCGTTAGGGTTTGGTTTTGGACCAATTGAAATGAAGCATCAAGATGATTTTTAAAGATGGAAAAGTGCTTGGAGGTTGGACAATTTTTAACGAGAAGTCTGGACCCATCTGTTTATACTTGTCGATTCATTTAGGGTACTAGATTGCCTGTGAACTGCGCTTTGGACAATTTTAACGAGGTCTGGACCCATCTGTTTATACTTGTCGATTCATTTAGGGCGGTACTAGATTGCCTGTGAACTGCCCAAGAAAACCGATCTCAACCATATAAATGTTTGACTTATTAGACATCATTCTATAATATATATTGCTATTATAGTCCATAACTTCTTCCCGTACATCTTCCCTTTCTTTCTAGCCTTTTTTACCTCGAGAAATTTCCACTTTTGAAGTTGACCACCGCTGTAAAAGGAATCGAAAGCTTATTTCGCGAGGCGGAAACTTTTGATAATTTGAAAATACTTTATCTTCTTGGCTACACCAAGTCACTACTATGTCAATCTATTTATCTGTTCAGGGCAAAAATACATAGGAAAAAGGAAAAAACGAAGATACAGATGTATCTTGGCAGTGGCAAACACTTCAGAATTTAATTTTTTTTGTTTATGAGTTTCTGCCATGCTTTTAGCCATTTAAAACGTGGCTCCAATCCACAAGTCACGAGAAGAGTCTTCTTCTGGCTCTCTTGGATCGGCGCTTTATCTTTCTCCTTCAAAATAATTTACTTCTTAATTATAAATTAAGAGCTCCAAACCTCCTCCTGACACAGACAATGAACATGAATCCTGACACAGACCGTGAACATTTATCAAGAATTCCAGCCACCACGAGCGGCTTCGGAACTCTGCATGCCAATGTTGTTATCTCAACCACCCAGTAAAGATAACTCCAAGTGTCGTAGAAATACAGTGCAACCTCGAGCTCTGTCATTTGATCTCCTAATAATGATGTTATGTGCATTGGAAATTATGCAATTAATTATTCTTTAATCCAACCATTAGGGTTGAAGAAGCATGCATCTACCCTACAACCTGGTGCTAAGAGTATATTATATTGTATTGCTGGTCCTCTTCTGAGTAGGGAGCGGACAAAGCCGCTAGATTTTTTAAATGGTGCCTCATAAACGACAAAAGCTGCCTACTGAGGAAAAAAAATAAGTTCTCTTGCGCTCTCAAGAGTTCAATGTATCTAACAGCTTATAAGTGTGTACGAGTGTAATAATAATGGCATGTTCGACTTCTTTCTGCATAATCTAATGATTTAGGTATTAAATAAGTTGGTAAGTGCATGTTCTCCTACTTTCTGCTTTATACTGTGGTCACATAGACAAAGCTACACACTTTGTTTTCGCTTTCTTCCGCTTTCACAAGATTGTGATCGGGTAACGTCATGCTAGATATGCGCCGGATACCCATTATTGTGATATATGCACCTCTTGTCCCGAACCAAGAGCCTATATGATTGGTTGTGTGGCTTGTAAAATCTAATTCTACGATTCCAAAAGTTGATCTTTTGGAAATTGCGCGATAAGCTCTATAAAGTCATGGCCCGACAATTAAGGGACAGCCGATATTTCTTGCGATTGGCATGACACGAGATCAAAGATGAAATCATACCCTACACTGCCAATGTAATCAAGTCTCTCTACAAGCAGCCTTAATATTTCATATATGCATCCATTTTCAGTTTAGTTATAGAAATCAGAAAACAAAACTTGTCTAAAAGTGATGTTCATGCGATACAAGCCTCGAGAAGCAACAATCTAGAATAAAATGTAATCGGGCGTCGTCGCACACATCAATCCTTCTCGATCCATGCGCGCTTCGCAAAGTCCCAGCAACATCCAAGATCAAGAGGCGCACGACATGTGCAGTGTTCCCTCAATTTCTTCCATGCGTGTGCAATAGGCGTCTTGATCGAGACTCGTTCATCCTATTATTCGCAAGAAAACGGAGACATCGATGTCTAATGTGCGCGCTAAAGCCGCACATGCGATTGGCCACACAATCCACTTAATTCTCACCGTAGGACCATGTGCGTAGGTTAGGCACGAAGCCCGAAGGCAAAAACAAAGATGAGGACGTGAAAATTGGGGAAGACTTAGCTCGAATTTCGTCCAGTATTCTATCACGTCGCTATGCTACGTTGGTAGGGGCAGATGGTGGCTAAAAAGGCAGCCGCAAAGTAGGGGCATTGTGGCAAATGCGAGAGCCGATTGCCCTTTGAAGAACGGTCCACAAAAGGGGAGACCAGTTACCCCTATTACCTCCTGAGCCTTTCCTAACTTGTAACGACTTTACCTGTCCGCCTAATCATGTGAACTCGTGAAAAAGACCAGGAAAACAAAATGCTTCGGTGCCTCGAAGAGATCGAACCCGCACAACGTATCTGAAGAGGATAATGGGAGGCTGCCAATTGGCTTGTCACCAGCTCTTGGGTGAGGGTTCTTCGAGTCCTGTTTTTGTGTGTTTTATCTCCTTATTTTGGCCCCATGTAAGCGTGTGCAGATTGGCATGAGTTGCTGTTCTGGGATTAGTCGCATATGCTAGAATATAGTAGGGGACGCATAAACTTACGATAAGGGATGAGATAAATGAGTTCCATAGACCTTGCTAAAATGGATGACATGGCAATCACGTTGGCAATTACCATTAACAAAGTTGTATAAAGTTAATGGAGAACTTAATTGTTCCAATTTGATAAGTTATGAGACTTAATTGTATTTTTTGAAAGTTTCATGACTCGATTGCACTTTCACCATAAATTTTAGGGCTTTCGATATACTTATCCCCCGTTGAAAACTCATGATTATATTGTTTTATGTCATTGTTTGACTCCTTGATAATATATCTTTCACCGAAAATCATTCTTCGATTTTTATTAGAGGAGACAGGTTATGTGACGATTCCAAACATGACATATTACAGGTAGACAAGAGAATCAATAACTTCACTTTTAATGGAACTAAACGTACACAAACTATGCCGAAATTTAATTGACGACAAAGCTTGAGAACGCGAAGATGTAACTCTAGAATTTAATCGACGACAAGGCACCCAGGATATACAGCAAAGTTACACGCCAGAATTTAATCGACGACGCAAATGTGGAAACTACAACTAAGAAACACGCCGGAATTTAATTAACGACGCGAGTACGAAAACAATAACTTCTGCACAGGAATTGAAAGATAACACCTTTGTTTGTTTGTTTGTGTGTGGGCTATCTTCATTAGACAAACACTGGTATTTATAATGTTTATGCCATAACCGTCTATGAGCACTTCTCCTATAGTTACAACCATCCCTTTACATCTCCGAGAATCTTGCTTTCATGCTCTCACGATGCCATGATCCCGTCTTTAAGTGGTTGTTTTGATCCTTCGTGCCCATGTTTGTTGCCTCGTCCATTCTTTCTCCACAAATTCTTGGACTTTGTTGCTTCATCCACAAGCGATTTCATATTCGAAATTTCATAAATGCATCTCGATGCCCTCTAGGTATCTGGCCTTTTCCTAGTGTTTCAATTGGAATCCTATCGATCATTTTAACCGTTATCCTTGTCAACAATCGCCAACCATATCTGATTAATGATCATCAATGTACATCAATATCGATAACATTGCTTACAATTGTTGACAATAGCTCATGTGTTTACTAACAACTAGTATTATAGTCGCGTGCCTATTCATATTGACCAC